ATGAGACGCTAATACAATGCCTATATATCCCTATAACAACCACTAGAATCAGTAATTGTCAACATTCTGCCACTTTTGCCTTTTCTTGTTGACCTTGCCAAATACTTCGAATATCTTCTAAATTTAGTCAGACTCCTGTCTAAACACGTAGCTGTTATCTTCCATAATTCCCTACTTTTTTTTTTTTTTCTTATTTGAGACAGGGTTTTTCTGTGCAGCCCTGGATGTCCTGGAATTCACTCTGCAGACCAGACTTGCCTGGAACTCACAGATCCGCCTGCCTCTGCTTCCCAAGTGCTGGAATTAAAGGCGTCCACTGTGATTCCCTACTTCTGATTACTGAACATTTCCAGTAGATTGCATTCCTGTTCCAAATTATTTACTTCCTCTTTCTGTGTAAGCGGATAATACTCCCCTGCTGACACTCTTTGCAGGAGGCTAGACTGTTTCAGCACATACAGAGTAAGCGTTAAGTTGCTGCTAAGAACGGGGGACTGAGTCCCCATACCTCAGCCCTAAACAAAGCATCGATAATGTTGGCTCCAAGGCGCAGGAGATATCATGGATGAGTAGGCAGAACAGAAGACAATGTTGTGAAACGTTGTCATGATGCATGTGCATGGCCATTGCAGTCATGAACATGCACATCTGTGGCTGACATGCACAAGACCCGGCCAAGAAAAACAAAATCTGAATGTAGGGGCAGGAGGCTAGTTTGGGAAGAACTGGGTCATGAGGGGTGTGAGGTAGGTAAAGATGATAATGGGGAGTGAATATGATCACAAAACATTGTATGTATATGAAATGGACAAAAAGAAAAAAGAAAGATATTAATTAGCAGCAAAAAGACCCTGCACCACCCACTGGTTGAAATTTCTCAAATCACTTCCTGGATTTTGCATCAAGGCAATTTGGGGGTCAAAATGCCTCTCTGGAGAAAAAGCAATGGCGAGCAAGAAATAAGCTCGATTAGACAGTGGTTATTAAACACTGCTTGTAATTAGACTCCCCCCCCCCCCGCCCCATGTGTTTAAAGCGGTTTTGAAGATAAGACTGAGTCAACATTTGCACATTGTGTTGGGGTTGACGTTGAAGTCCCTTTCAATCTGCAACAGCATATTGGTTGGTTTTTTTGTCAGCTTGACACAAATTGGGAGAAAGGCAACCTCAGCTGAAGAATTATCTCAATCAGAGTGGCCTTTGAGCCCATCTGTAGGGAAATTTCTTGATTAACGGTTGATGCTGGAAAGCCCAGCCCACTACGGACAGTGCCACCCCGGGCAGGTGGTCCTGGATTGTAAAAGAAGGGAAACTGAACCAGGCATAGTGGCTTATGCCTTTAACCCCAGCACTCAAGAAGCAGAGGAGGGAGGCTCTTTGTGAGTTCAAGGCCAGCCTGGTCTACAGAATGAATTTCAGTTTCAGGACAGCTGTAACTACATAATGAGACCATTTTTTTAAAAAAAGAAAAAGAAAGAAAGAAAAGAAAAAGGAAGGAAGGAAGGAAGCAAACTGAGCAGCAAGCCAGCTTTCCATGTCAGTCCCTGCCTCCAACTGCTGCTTTTGTTTTTTCTCTCATATTCGTGCTCTAAAAAAGTATGTGTAAGCCAGTGGCATACGCCTTTAATCCCAGCACTCAGTAGGCAGAGGCAGATGGATCTCTGTGAGTTCGAGGCCAGCCTGATTTACAGAGTGAGTTCCAGGACAGCCAAGGCTACAAAGAGAAACCCTGTCTCAAAAAACAACAACAAAAAGTGTAAAAGGAGGAAATAATAGGGGAAGAAATGGGATCAAGTAGAAAATGTGTGAAGAACAGAAGAGGATAATGGGGGATGAGTAAATTATATGCATGTATGAAATAAAACCATTATTTTGTACAACTGCCACACACTAATAAAAAAATATTCATAAAACAAATACAGTACAGCATCAGTGCATCAGTAGTTGCCTGACTTCCTAGAAACTCCCATGGTGACTCCTACCTCATTCTGCCTCCTGGCAGAAACGAGGAAAGTAAATACAAAGTTGAAGTTAAAATCTCAAAACAATGGAACACCCCAGAACTACCACAAAACATGACTGATGGAAAGAAAGTGGGAGTTTCCTGGGCAAGTCAACACTAGGACTCGGTGACTGTCTCCACACAGGCCTATGCAATATACCTACCCAATGCTGTGCTGACTTACCCTAGTGTGCACACTGCTTTCATCTACGGCTTGTTTGTTTGTTAAGTTTTTAAGTCTTTCAAGAGATGTAAGAGGTGCGGTACAGCTGGCTCGTGGGTGAAGAGCATGTGCTGCTCTTTCAGAAGGCCGGGGTTCAGTTCCCATCATCCACCCCTGGGGTCTCCCAAGGGCCTTTAACTGTACCTCCAAGGGTTCTCTAGCCCTCTTACGGTCTCCTTGGGTGCACAAGGATGCACAAGTAGTAAAGAAAGCAAACGTCTTTTGAAAGATGCAAAGAGAAGGGGCTGGAGAGATGGCTCAGGGGTTAAGAGCACTGGCCGTTCTTCCAAAGATCCTGAGTTCCATTCCCAGCAACCCCATGGTGGCTCTTAACCATCTACAGTGAGATCTGGTACCCTCTTCTGGCCTGCAGGCAGACAGGCAGAACACTGTAAATAATAAATAAATCTTTAAAAAAAAGATGCAAAGGAAAACTTACTTAAAAGAAAGAAAACACACTATTGCCTCAATCCTACTTGAAAAGGTTCTGTGAGCAGCCTGGGACCTGGCAATTCAAAAGTATCCTTCGATTTTAACATGTGGGGAAGACTGAGGCCCATTGGCTTGATACTTGAGTCAAGTATAAGCTACCCTCTTGTGTCTGTCACGTGGCACTGACCAGGATCTCCAGTGGCTGTAGGCTTTAGCAAAATCAACAGCACTCTCTTGGAGCCTAGGTGAAGGTGGGAAGCACTCTTGTTTGTGACTCTGTTTTTTTTTTTCTTTGTGACTACAAATGCTCTGTGGGACACCACCACCAGATTTGGGAAATACGGTGTTTTTTACAAATTATTTAAATCATGGTTTTAGTATCCAGTAGTGATCCATGTGTGATTTAATTATTTTATAGAAGTTTATAGACAAAACAAAAAAATTGATTCTGAGCCCACCATTCTCTATTTAAAGTTAGTCAGCATTCTTTTGCGAAGCATTTTCCCTCTTCACTGGTCATTGAATTATAGTTCTATAAAAGAGACAAGGAGGGCCTAGAGAAATGGCTCAGAGGTTAAGAGAACTGGCTGTACTTCCAAAGGTCCTGAGTTCAATTCCTAGCAATCACATGGTGGCTCACAACCATCTATAATGAGATCTGGTGCCCTCTTCTGGCATGCAGGCATACATGCAAGTAAAATACTGTATAATAATAACTAAATAAAATATCTTTTAAAAAAAGAGACAAAGAAACTGCCTTGTTCCCTTTAATAATTGCCAGTGTAAGAAGTTAGTGTAACAATTATATCCAACACTATCAACGAGCTCTCCCTTCTTTGAGTATTGCTCTGGTGCTGTGGGCTTTCACTTTCTCTGTGTATCAAAATCAACTGCTGTTGTTCTTGCTGATGCTCAAATCATCTCAAATTGGCCCAGTGTAAGAACTCATCTAGACTCATTTTTGTCACATCCTCTTATTATTCTTTCCCTTCTGGCTCAACAGGTGTCCCAATCTCGCTTGTGTTTTCTGTGACACAACTAACTTGGAGGCAGTCATTTCTTCTAGGAGTTTACTCTAATGGGGAGGAGTGTTGACAATCAAGATTTGGATGCCTACTGCTTGCAGGGTGCCATTTCATCTTTGCCCAATGGGCAAAGCTGGGAAATGCATTTAAAAAAACAAAAACAAAACATGAGTTCAAGAGTGGGGAGATGGCTCAGCAATTAATATGCTTCCCAGCATTCACATAAAAAGCGGGATGTGGAAGTTCATACTTGTAATCCCTGCACTAGGGAGGCAGAGAGAGGAGGCCCCCTAAAACTTGCTGGCTACCTAGGCTAGCCCAATCAGTGACAGCTGGGTTCAGTGAAAGGCAGTCTCAAAAATTAAGAGGGATTGAGGAAGACATTTTCGATGTCTACCTCTGACCTCCACATGCACAAAAACACAGATGCGAACAAACTAATACACGTACAAAAGCTTCTGATAGTGATGGGTACAACATTTACATTCACAAGATGGCACACGGCAGGGTACCATGCCTCTGGTATTAGCGGCTGGGAAGCCTGAAGAAGGAAGGTCACACACACCCTGTGGCTTCCAGGGATCAAATTTAAGTCATCACACTTGGTGTCAAGCACTTCTACAGACTGAGCTGTCTCGCTGCCTTCTTCTTTATTTAAATCACATTCTGGAACAAGCAGTAAATAACCCTGGGAAAAAAACAAGGTCAATAGAAGAAAATACAAAACTGTACAATGACGGATTTTATTTCGTTCCTTGTTTAAACTTACCGAGAAGAATCTGGAAGGCCTCGCCCACAGATGTATAAAGTGGTAATTTGGTGTATTTCAGTCTTTTTTTTTTTTTAAGATTTATTTCATACAGTATTTATTTATACAGTACTCTGTGTGCATGTGTGCAGACTCACCAGACTCATTACAGATGGTTATAAGCCACCACCTGGTTGCTGGGACTTGAACTCGGGACCTTTAAAAGAGCAGACCTCTGAGCCATCCCTCCAGCCCAGTGTATTTCAGTCTTTGCAAGGAATTTGGAAAAGCTACTTAGAGATAATTTATAAATGCTATTGCAAATGCTATTTAGAAATAAGAGACAAGAAGTCACAACTACACTTTCAAACTTGGTCACAAGACAACGTTTGACAGCTTTGTAAGACTGGTTTGCGGCAGACTGGGAGCAGAAAAGACACAGCCCAGGAGAGCTAACAGTCCTGACAGGAGGCTGAGTTGAAGACAGGAGAGTCAAGAGAGAAACCTCCACGGTGGCTAGAGCGGCTCTGACAACAACAGGAACTTCCGGGGTGGGGCCTGTCCATCGTTTCTCCATGGCTAATGTGGGTTTTTAGCACAGCTAACATCTGCAGTCTCTTTGCCGCTACTTCCATTACATTAAGACGGTGCCTGAGCGTGGGGGTGACCATGGCAAAGAGCAAGTTTGAATACGTGCGAGATTTTGAGGCTGACGACACGTGCCTGCCGCATTGCTGGGTTGTGGTGCGGCTGGACGGCAGGAATTTCCACCGGTGAGCTGGCGGGGCGGGAGGCCGCGTGGTGCGCCTGCACTTCCGGGAAGCGCGCCGCCCTCAGTTACCGGGGTAACGCCGCAGCCAATGAGTACTCAGCGTTGAGCGTCACCTGTGAAGGGCTTGCTAGGATCAGGCTTTGCTGCCGGGTGGTTCAGATATTTAAAAAGAACCGGGTACTGTAATTAGTGATGAGCCCGTGCTCCTTAAGCAGAAACCAGTTTGCAAGAACTTTGTGTGAGTTTGTGTGCTTGAGGGTGGGGAGTTACTTCCTGGTCCACTACTTAAACTTCAGCCAAATGTGCAACCCTTTTGTTGCCTTTGAGGGCTGACTGTTGAGAGGCCTGCGTAAGCCTAGCGGTGGGCAGGAGTTGACAGTATGTCTTTCTCTCGTTGTCAGTTCTATGTTAATATGAACTGACTGTACTAGGATGGGGTGGGGGGCGGGGAGAAGAGACAATGAAAACCGATGGGGACTTAATTTCAATAAAGGAATGTTATTTAGGGTTTTTTTTTTTTATCATGTTATAACTGTGTAATCACATAGAGCTGTAATGATGCTTAGTGAGCACTCAGTAAGAGCCAGGCATAATTACATCTTGATCTCCTTATCGTCAGTACAACCTGATAAGGTAATGTTCTCTATTCACACAGTAAGGTGAAGCTTCACAGGAAAGTGTGTTGAAGCCTAGAAGTTGTAACCCTTCTGGCCAATTGGTCAAAGCAAGAGGGGAAAACTTGCATTTTTTTTTTTTTTTTTTTTTTTTTTTTGTGGATATGCTTGTGTGTAAGTGCGGGGGTTCACTCCTCAGAGCTGTCCACCGGAACTCACCAAGTACTCCAGCCTGGTGGTCATTGAGCCCCAGGAATCCTCTTGTCTCCACCTCCCCAGAATTACAAGCAGGTGCCTCTGGATGGTGTTGGTAATGACAGACTCTCCACTGTTTGTGCCCAACTTTTTCCTCTATGAAGGTTTGCTGAGAAGCACAACTTTGTGAAACCGAATGACAGCCGAGCTCTCCAGCTGATGACCAAGTGCGCCCAGACAGTAATGGAGGAGCTGGAGGACATTGTGATTGCCTATGGACACAGTGATGAGTACAGCTTTGTGTTCAGGAGGAAAAGCAATTGGTTTAAAAGAAGAGCCAGGTGAGTTTCAAAACCAGCCTTCCGTCAGGGCATTTTCTCCTGTTTTCTGTTCTTCTGGTAACCATGACAACAGCTGAGATCTTACAGATTTCGGGTGGTTGTATCTACAGAATGTACATTTCTTATTTTGACTGTTTCCTTTCATTGAGATCTGAGCATTCTTGTGCTGTCTATTTTTCTTTTTTTTAGATGCTTTCTTCATCTGATTTTTCCCCTTCTGTATCTTACCAGTCCAGCTTCCAGGCTGACCTATATTGAATATTTAGACTATAAACAGAGACTAGAAAAATAGAGTATTAGTGACTCATAGGCAGCTTTGCCAGTGTCATGCATTAAAGTATTATTTAAACTTTTTAACTAAGGAGATAAATCTGATATTTAATTTGATAGTATATTGAAACTCTTAGGGGAATCAAATTATATGATGAGTTGCTTTGTTTTTAAAATAATGGTTCCCTTTCTTCCAAGACTGAAAACAATACCAAGCCCCCAAAACAACAACAAAATCTTGAACCATAAATTTATTCTACATCCTGTGGAGAAAAATTTGGTGTTAGTGAGTGTGCTGGCTAGTTTTACGTCAGTTTGACACAAGCTAAAGTTATCTCAGAGGTGGAACCTCAATTCAGAAAATGCCTCCATAAGATCAGGTTTCAGGCAAGCCTGTAAGGCATTTTCTAAATTAGTGATTGATAGGAGAGGGCCCAGTCCATGGTGGGTGGTGTCATTCCTGGGTTGTATAAGAAAGCGGGCTGAGCAAGCCATGGGAAGCGAGCCAGTAAGAAAGAAGTTCTCCACATTTGCTGGATCAGCTTCTGCCCCCAGGTTCCTGCTCTGTTTGAGTTCCTGTCCTGACTTCCTTTGATGATGAACAGTGATGTGGAAGAGTAAAACAAATAAGCCCTTTCATCCCCAAGTAGCTCTGGGCATGGTGTTTTGTCACAGCAATAGTAACCCTGACTAAGACAGTGAGTAGCTTAAGTAGAGGCTGGCTACATTCAAAACATACAGTCAAAATATTAAAAGTTTTTCTTAGCTGAATATATTTTATCTTCTAGCTGGTTGGGCAGTTTATATGATCTCTCTGTTGCATCCACAGGTCCTATCTTGGTATCAAATTAATACCAAACACTTTCTCTTTCCTTGTTCCACCGAACGTGTCTTGCACTTGCAAGTAAGTTCATGACTCTTGTAGCCTCCCAGTTCGCCTCCAGTTATGTGTTTTACTGGCGGGATTACTTTGAGGACCAGCCCCTTCTGTATCCCCCAGGATTTGATGGAAGAGTTGTGTTGTATCCTAGCAACCAGACTTTGAAGGACTACCTCAGCTGGCGACAGGCAGACTGTAAGTGGCACTAAGTACATAGTTCAAGTCAAACTACCAAACCTGTACATTAAAGTTGGGATCTGATACAATAGATTCTTGCTCTATAACTCAGGCTGACTTCAAATCCTGCTTCAACAACTCTGAAAGGCCTGTGTTAGAGTGTGTGTGCCACGACACCTAGCTCTCTCTCACACACTACTTAGTTGACAATATTGGAAAAGTTAAGAGATTTTTATGGGGAAATTATCTTTAGTTCTTTGATCTCCCTCTCGTGTGTGTGTGTATGTGTGTGGTGCATGTTTGTATATGAGTGTATGTTCACATGCATGTGCTTTCATGTGCTTGCCTATACAAGTGTTGCAGAGCTGGAGGAAGAGGTGGGGTGTCCTGTTCTATGACTCTGCTCTACCTTATTCCCTGACTGAACCTGGAGCAAGTCTGGCAGCCAGCAGGGTTGCTAACAGCTCCAAGGTTCCGGGTACATGTCGCTATGTCCAGCTTCTTACACAAGTGCTGGGATCTGAACTCAGGCCCATGGGCCTGCACAGCAAGAGCTCTTACCCATTTAGCCATTTCTTCAGCCCAGGTTTGCTTTTTAAATTCAGAGGATAAGGCAGTCTTGCATTTCCACTCAGTTTATGTAGAGCCTCTGTGGTGGCAGCTCCCTTTTTGCTTTGCAACACACAATGCACGCATGCACACAAAGTCATAGGCTGCACAGTCCCTGCTTTTCCCTGCCATTCTGCGGAGTTAGCCACTGCTCTGTGAACTTAATGCTTGTACCAGCATCAGTGCTTTTTGAGTTGCGAGGCCTGCCTTTCATGACTGCAGTGAGACTTGTAGTTGTTGGTGTGGTTTTGTTTTGTCAGAAAAACAGAAATAATAATGAATCAAGTAGCTTGGAAACCATTTCTAGGATGAATACCTAAGCCGATTTGTAAAAGGTGTTACTGAGATGACCATGTGAAGTTGTTTTCAGGAACCAAGTTTTACATGTCTACCCCTTTCCCTGTCTATTCCCTATGTAGGCAGACTGGGTGGTCACTAAATGTCTCTCATCTGGGGAGAAAAGCTGGGTTGTGGTGTTCTTGGAAGCATAAACAGTCTATATAAAACAAAGCATATATACTATAATACATAATATTATACATATGTAAAACTAAGATTCGGTTATATATAAATATTATTATTATTTTTTTTTTTTGCAGGTCACATCAATAATCTCTATAATACAGTTTTCTGGGCCCTTATCCAGCAGGCTGGACTAACACCAGTCCAAGCCCAGCAGAGATTAAAGGTATAAAGATCCTATGCAGAAACACAGCTGAGGACATTAGCTCTGGTCTCTCGTGGTATTTCCGGAACGTCCCCTTCCTTCCTTAGCTTTCTCTTCAGCTCTGTTTTGAAAGATAGAAAGATCTCATGAGCAGAAGCTCTCACCTTGCTTGCTGTCGGCCGGGATAGATTATTTCTCCTCCCAGGGCCGCTGTGCCAGCGTGCTCACACTTGGCTGCAGTCGCATCTTGGCTCCCCTCTTTTGAGGGTGCATGCCTTCTCCTTGGTCTTGCAAGGCCTCTTCCTTCATGCCATGTCCTGCTGGGCTTCTGTTCCTTCTTAGGATTAGAACCTGGGTAAAGTGAGAGTCAGAGAAGCAGACTTCTATGTATCCTCACTGCTTTGGAAAACTTCGGAATAGTTCTCAGCTCAGAGGCTTCTAGAAAGAGCGAGCCTTGATGCGTTCAAACACATGTAGATGTAAGTGCTGACTGCTAGCCTTCCTTACTCGATAGCACTGCTGCCGCCTGTGGATGGCTGATTCTGCAGTGAGGTAAGGCACTGTGCCAGGTCCTGAGACAGTGTCTTCTACATTATGATTGGTGACATAGTTGTGGTCCTTACTAATAGTGTCTGTGGTGAAGACTTACTTGTTGACACCAGTGGAAATGCCAGCAACCCTGTTTAGTCAGAGCCAAAATCAGATTTTGCTTCCTCTGAAGAGAGTACAGACAGCCAGGCAGTGGTGGCACACACCTTTAATCCCAACAGTGGCAAAGGCAGAGGCAGATGGATCTGTGAGTTCAAGGCCAGCCTGGTGTGCACCGAGGAAGTTCCAGGACATTCAGGGCTACATAGAGAAACCCTGTCTCAACAAAGCAAAACAAAAAGAGGAAAGCTAGCCTTCATCTGCTCTTTCTTCTTAGAAATGGAGATGACATTGTGATCAAGTAAGAACCATTAACACCAAGTTTCTATATACATAAAGTTGTTGTTGCTATTAGCTCCTAATCACCCCACAGTCTAGACAGTGCAGCCAAGGTTTACAGCAGAAAGGGATCTGATGAATGCAGACATCTAGATTAGATTAGACTAGCAGGGGCTGGGGTGTAGCTCAGTAGTAGAGTGATCTGACTTTGGAGTGAAATGAAAATTCATTAGTAACTGTGAGACTAGCGCTGGCAGGCCTTCCCCCTGGCAGTGGAAGTGTAGGAGAGAGACCTACTGAGATTCTTCTGTGTGTTTCCTCAGGGAACTCTGACAGCAGACAAGAATGAGATTCTGTTTTCTCAGTTCCACATCAACTACAATGACGAGCCACACATGTATAGGAAAGGGACAGTGTTGGTGTGGCAGAAGGTAAGGCTACATATTCAGAGAGAAACGGTGGCTGGGGCGTGGGAGCCCTTGTCTTTTCCCAGGTTGTTTCTGCCTACCACCCCATATGTGGTTAAGATGCTGGTCGCTAACATGACATAGATACTTTGCAAAAGGAGGCACTGTAGAGGAATAGTTGCATGTTCATTTGTCAGGCTCTTGTGGCCTGGAGTATCTCATAGCAGATGTAAATAATACCACAGAATTTTAAATTAGTACACTTGTTTTCTGTGTTCCCCTTTCAAATAAACCCTCTTCATGGGTAAAATAGAGAGCTGGAGAGATGGCCTAGCAGTTAAGACCACTTGTTCTTGTTTGAAGGACTTGGGTTCAGTTCCCAGCACCCATGTGGTGGCTCACAACCATTTGTAACTCCAGTCCCAGGAAATCCAGAATCTCCTTCTGACCTCAGGCACAGCTTGCATACGCCATACCTATTTTGCCTTCATTAAACATTTAAAAAATACTTTTTCCTGTGCTGGATGGTATTATTAAATGGTTTATCCCCTTCAAGACAGCTGGAGTACTGAGCACTAAGAGATACTGTAAAGCAGGAATAAAAGTAGCAAATAAGACACTTTGACTTTCAGCAATTTTATTAGATTCCCCAGACATTCATCCTAACCATCTGGGATGCCTCTATACTTAGTTCTACCAATATTTTCTCTGCTATCAGCTCATAGCCATTAATTATTTCTCTAAATTCATTTCTTTTCATGTTCTTTTTTTAAGATTTTTATTTATTTATCTATTTATCTATCTATTTATTTATTTATTTATTTATTTATTTATTTATTTATTTATTATGTATGCAGTGTTCTGCCAGCATGTGTGCCTGCACCCCAGAAGAGGGCATCAGATCTCATTATAGATGGTTGTGAGCCACCATGTGGTTGCTGGTAACTGAACTCAGAACCTCTGGAAGAATAGACAAGGCTCTTAACCTCTGAGCCTTCCCTCTAGTCCTCATGCTAGTATGTATGTATGTATGTATGTATGTATGTGTACCTTTAAGTTCCATAGTTTGCTAATAGGAAATGAATTCCCTTCTTTGTTCGTAATTCCACCTATTAGTCAGTGCCTCTGAAGAAAGAGAAAAATAGGATGAATATAAACATATTTATATAAGTATAAATACATATTCATATGTGTTTATATGTATATATATATATATATATATATATATATTTTTTTTTTTTTTACTAAATCAACTTACACTAAAATAGTAACAATAGTTGCCTCTCGCTTAAGAGGATGAGAAGCCATTAGTTGCCTTGTTCTTGGGCTAGGTGCCTCAGCACTTGGAGTTGTTCCTCAGAGGCTGTCTCATACTGGAAAGGCAGAGAACCCTGTAATTCTGCAGTCTACCGGGCTGGGTGGCTGGGTAGTCCCAGTCTGGCACCGAAACCCTGGAAGTCTCCTGGTGTTGCTGGGCCCTTAGTCAACAATGGAAGCTGGTTCTGGTACCAGAAGATGCTGCCGACTGAGAGTGTGTCTACCTGTATTAAGTAAGACAATCTGGAAGATTGTTCAGTTGAGTGTTCCTACTCAGATGGTTCTAAGTTGTGGCAAGATGACATAAAACCAACCATCACAATCACTTTTCAAAGTATAGTAACCTTTTCCCAAGATTTGTTGTTGTTGAAAATGTTGTATTGCTGAGGATCAAGCCAGGGCCTTCTATATGCTAGAGAGGAACTCCACCACAAATCTATAGCCACAGCCCTAAAGGTACCATTTGTTTCATATGTTTTTGAGACAGGGCCTCACTGTGTAGCCCTGGCTAGCCTGAAACTCACTATGCAGACCAAGCTAGTCTTGAACCTATAAAAATCTGCCCACCTCGAGAGTGCTGGGATTGAAGGTGTGTGCTCCATACTGGTCTAAATGTATTTCTACATGGAAAGATATCTACCCTGTTGATACATAAAACTCCCATAGTCAGTGCCATATCAAGGAAAAAAGTGAATTTCTCCCATAATTCTCTTTGTGTTCCTGTCCCACTCTCAACACTCTCCCTGCTTTATCTTTTGCCTGTAGGTAGATGAAGTCAGGGCACAAGAAGTTAGGCTGCCAGCAGAGATGGAAGGAGAGAAGATGATTGTGACTCGGACCAGAAACCGGCTGGTGCCCCTGCACTGCGATCTCATTGGGGATGCTTTCTGGAAGGAACACCCGGAGATTCTGGCGGAAGAGAACTGATCTTGTACTCTACAGTCCCGGTGTGCTTAACCATGCAGGGCTCGCCGAGTCTCCCTCATCCCCCATAGGTGCTTCAAGCATTCCTGGCTCCCAGCATCCCGAAGAACACTGTAAGGAGCGACATGAGTGGAATTGGGTGGAGACCAAGAAAGAAGTCGGGGGCGGTGTATCTTGTTCTTAAGCAGAATACCTTTTTTTTTTTTTAAATGATGTTATAACATGACTCCTTTGGCTCTTTTCAAAATCATGGTCCTATTTTTATAAAAGAACTATTCATACTCTGCTGGAGGAGTCGTTTTTAGCTGTGGCATAAGTCTTACAAAAACCTGTCGCCTCTTTTGACCTCTGATTGAAGAGGAGCCCAGACTTTCCCATCACCCGCCTTCCTTAACGAGAGAACACAGTGACTGAAAAATCCCACTTCTGACACCTAAGTACTTGCACTTATCTTTTGGCATGAAGTTAAATATGGGTTACCACCTGCATGATGCCTCCAGACTGAGGAATCCCAGGGAACACTGAGGCTCCGCGCCAGTCCCCCCGGGGTGCCAGCTCTCACAGAACACAGGAGGAATGGTTTGGCTGTTCTGCATCATTCCAGGATTGATGTTTCTGGAACTGTTGGCATGATCATTGTCATCTCTTATCAGGGACAGAGTTCCAGTCACTTAACTCTTTTGAAGCAAAGGTATCTTAGGGAGTTATATGTGTATATGAGAGGGAAATGTTTGTATATGAAAGAGGATGGGGAAGCAGCTACTCCTTATGCGCTGAAAATACTTCAGTGGGAAAAGCTGATTGGGGTTAGACTTCTGGACAAACATTTTCAAATAGCATCAGTGTAGTCGGAGCCATAACATTGAATTCAAGAGCAGGGAGGCCTAATACGGTGGTGTAGCCTAATCCTAGCACTCTGGAGGTTGAGGCAGGAAGATCTAATGTTTGAAGCCAAACTGGGTACATGGCAAGGCTCTAAGAAGGAGTGGAATTGCCGTGAGGGGATCCCTGGAGATATTAGAGGTTTTAAAATAGCTCCTCCTGCCTATGGCAGGATGGAATTGGCAAGGGGGCATAGAATGGTAATGGAAACCATTTGTTACCAAGGTGTTAAACTCAATGGGAAAGTCAGGTTTCCTCTTGACCTTGTTTTGTATCTTATTTGGCTCCTTCAGTAATTAATTAAAAGATAGCTTCTGTCCTGCTGCCTGGTCTTGGATTTGCAGAATCTACAGCCAAGAAGAAAATGTATTTTTGAAAAAACAGCGTCTGGCCTCATCCCTCACTAATTGACACCCCATCTGCTGATGCCATTTTTTTCCTTCCTGTTCTCTCCACTCCCCAGGAAGCAATAGAGCTCTTGTTTGGTAACTGCTAAAATCTTTTTAAGAGGAAAAAAAGCATAATAAAGATTCTAGCTCCTTGGCCTACTTAATTGGTTTCCTCATAATGAACATGATTTGAGAGTTACATCTTTGAGAAAGCCGGGATCCATGTCCCCACATAGCAGACATCCAGAGACTTCTGGATAGTCTTAAAAATATTCGTTTGAATTTTAAAGTGCCGATGTAAGACACCCATGTGGATATTTGGGACTCTGCAGTTAATTTTTTTTTTTTTTTTAAGCCCAAAGGCTTCTGATGCATGGCTATGCACATTATAGCACGTTGGGCAAGCAATTCCTTCAGTATGCCCGATGAGGCAGTGAAATCATTAGCTCTTGACGAGCATATTTAGCTTAATGGTGAGTTGATAGCATTTCCTTTCAAAATTGGGCAAGTAGGGAATAAACACCAAAGTTCCATGACAACCCCTAGAGAAAGTTTGTGCTTTCACATACAGGGAAGCCTATCTCTGGACTTACCCTAGCAGTAGTCATTGACTGCTAATTGTGTAGCCAGGAGATTTTCAGTCCTGAAGGGGATTTTAAAGCAATAAACCAGGTTTAATGCCAACACTGTTAAGAAACCATCACCCAGTGCTTGGTTGTTTTCATCCTGCTGCCGTGTGCACTCACAGTTCCATATTAATTTCCAGTTTTCATCGTCGTTTTGAAGATGCTCAGGTTTTCTTTTGGGTCACATTTTCAAACTTACAGAAAGTAAGGAAGACCCCAAAGAGCTCGTGTAGACTTAATACTGGTTGAATACTTTGAGAAGGTGGTGGCAATTAGGAGAGTGACTTGGCTGGCTGCTGGGTGGCAGCAAGCAAGTCAGCCCTGCTGGATGAGGAGGTCCTATCTACAGGAGATACGAGCTCTGGCCATTCTTCCAGAGGACTGGGGTTCAATTCCCAGGACCCACGAGGTAGCTCACAACCATCACAATTCCAGGGGACCCACCACTCTCTGGTCTCTGTGGGTGCTGATTACATATGGCACACAGACATACGTGCCGGCAAACACACACAGGTTTTCGCTGAATTAGAGCCATAAAATAGGGTCGATCTGATCTTTGGACTCTCCAGTACTCTGGAAAACAGTGATGGAGTCATTTTTCATTGATACTAAGGGCTCTCCAGTCTTAGTGGGCAGGGAAAGGAAATGAGGGTCGTCATTACCAGTCTTCTATAGTATTTAGCCAGCTAACATGCACCCGATGTGTGCTCTGTACCCTTCTGTCATGCTTCAGATGACAGAACACAAAGAGGCTCAATTTGAGCTCAGACAGGCTAATCCAACTCATGTCAGGAGTATAGGTAACAGGAAAGCAAACTGTGGTGTCTTCTGTCCTTTACCTCCAGCTGAAGCTGGACAACAGAAAATGATCACGGACTTTAAAATGCAGGTTTTGGGGCCCACCCCGAGTCTGGAGTATCAAACACCCTAAGCAGTGAGTTAGGTATCAATGAATTTTTGTTTGTTTTCAATAAATGGCTAGTTTTGTTGTTGTGTTCGAGACAGGGTTTCTCTCTGTGTGGCCCTGGCTGTCCTGGAACTCACTTGGTAGACCAGGCAAGCCTCAAACTCAACAGAGATCCACCAGCCTCTCCCTCCCAAACGTCTTTGATCAAAGGCGTGCACCACCACACCCAGCTTAAATGACTAATTTTTGAACTACCTTCGGGAATGTTGGCTTTGTCTTTGAATAATTTGTCCCTAATTGATTTCAGATCTCAAATTCAGAAAAGATAGTAAATGTCAACGAGGGGGGGGGGGGAAATGAGAACTAATAAACAGTATCTACTTCAGTAACAAAAGAGAAAGGTCAGAGGGCAGTCTCAACAGATCAGCTGTCTGTGGAGGCGGAGCCAGGCCTAGGCAGGCCACGCCCATTCGCCACGCCCCCGCCACGTGCCACACCCCCCGCCGCTCTCCTGAGCGAGTCGATGCTGCCCCCTTGTGGCCGCGGCTGCGCAGTGCGTACCCCTGAGCCGCGGCTGCGGCTGCGCGGTGCCGCCCTCTGGCGGCCCGGCTCCTTCCTCCCTCCCATCGGCCTCGGCTTGCGGGCCTTTCAAACATGGAGGAGCGCGAGTGGGGGGCGAGGTCGGCTCGCGCCGGCAGTCCGGCCAGCCCGCCCAGCCCGCGGCTGGACGTCAGCTCCTACAGCTTCGACCCGCTGCTGGCCCTGTACACGCCGCACCTGCCGCCCATCCCCTACCCCAACGCTCCGTGCTTCAACAACGTGGCCGAGTACGAGAGCTTCCTGAAGGGCGGGCGCACCGGGCGCGGCCGAGCTCGGGCCACCGGGGAGGCTGCCTCGGCGGGAACCTCCACCGGAACCTCCACGGGAGCCGGGACCTCGTCCAAGGCCCGTCGCCGCGCCGCGCCCACCCCGGATCCCGAGCGCATCCAGCGCCTGCGCCGTCTCATGGTGGTCAAGGAGGACGCGGACGGCGCGGCCGGGGCGCGACGCCAGGGACCGGGGCGCAGCAAGAAGGCACCCCGTAACGTGCTCACGCGGATGCCCTGTGAGTGCTGCGGGGTGGCGGGAGGTCTGAGGAAGGGCTTGCAGAGGGCATCTGCGGGAGTCTCGAGGGCCGGGCGGGAGGGCGGGCAGGGTCGCCGGGGAGTCACAGGCTCTGCCCGAGTTGAGGAAGGGAGGAGAGGGGCGACCCACGGGGGAGGATCTGTACAGGCCATTGCTGTCCTCACCCAGGTGGTGAGGAGCTGCAGAGGGGCTGCGGGAGTAATGAGGCATGCGGGGCGGTTGTGGACTTGCAGACGGTTTGCGGGGCATCAGAGATCTGCAGAAGTGATGAGAGGTCTTGGGGACCACTGCAGGGAGGTGGGGAGCAGACATACAGAAGTTACGTTGGGGCACAGCCACACTGAAGGTGAGAGTGGGATTTGAGGGTCAGGTGGAGAGTGAGGAAATGGATCTGTTCACATAGCACAAGAGACATCTCATATCCCAGCCAGGGAAGTGACAGCTCCGCCTGGGGTGCCGTTTGCCAAGCGGCTGCAGGTACTTGATCCACTTATGACCATATTAACTAAATCACTCGTTTTGGAATGCCGCAGACACAGAATGCTACCAAACAGGTGCGGTTTTACAGCCATTGGCTGGCTGGGGCAGGACTGTCAGGCTCAGGTTGCTCTGTGTGCAGGTTGTTTTAAATTCTGAAGGTGTAAACGGCACAAAGGAATTGCCTACAGCCTCCTGATAGCTCCTCAGGGTGAAGCCGTAAACAGCAAAGGTTCTAATGTGCTATTTAGGTCTTGTGTAAATGGAATAGAAACAGCCTAGGGTTAATGCCAAATAGTTATGACATCTGCCCTGTGAACATAATGACCTACTTAGCCAGTCGAAGCTTCTGGAGCCTGAAAATTAAATCGTTACAATGTTAAGGTGGCTTCTTTTGGAATAGTGGGGCGAACTCAGCAAGAGATCCGTTTTGTTAAGAGAGAAACGCCCTGAAAAGCAGTGTACTCCTGCTTGTGCCTGGGTGGGAGAGCCTCCCTGCCCAGCTAGGATTTCCCAGAGCTGGCTTGCACAGCAGGAGCAGAAAGATAAGTGTGCATCCGTTCTGGTACAGGCAGCTGCAGTAACGTCTTTTGCCTATGTGTGTTGCCACCGTTAGCTTGTTGACTCGCACCCAAGTCTCAGAGTATAACATTTATTCCTGTCACCGCCTTGCTACCATGATTCTCAAAGGGGACACTTGAGAGTGGTTCCGGTTGTCAGGACCTGTGTGAAGAACAGCTTCATCCGGGTCTCATGATTAAGTTCTTTCCTGGAGTGAAGACCTCACAATATTAGCCCTCATCAAAGATAACCTGAAGCAGTCGGGAGTGGCATGAAAATGGGTGGATACCACAAAGAAGAACCTTCCCAAAGTAAGGAAAAGAGGAATAGGTTTGTTAGGGAGTTTTTCCAAGGGTCACCTTTAGGACTTGAAGTTAAAGAAGGGCATGGATGAAAACACCGTCTTCAAAAATCAAATTATTCAGTTTACTTTACATGTTAACAAGAGGTCAGCCCTTTTCATAAATGTATAGGGTTCACCTAAGTTTGAATACTAGCTTCTCCCACTTCTGGCTGTTTTATTTTTGGCAAGTTATATCTTCAGCCCCAAATTTTTCCATGGTGGATAAAGAAAGCAATAGTAGTGCCTGGCTGTCACTGTAAGGGTTAAATTCATCAACACTTCGAAAACATAGAGACAGTGACCTTCTCTAATAGGGATGTCTTCAACAGCTGCTGATGTGATTTCCTGTAGGCTGTAGTGCTGGTCAATATTATTTTCAGGTGGATGTAATTAAAAGTACTTGTAGGTGCCTGGAGCAGTGTTGGCTCAGCTGTTGCCTAAGCAAGTGACCTTGAACAAATTACTTTGATGTCTTTGAGCCTCTCTGTAGTGTGATAATCATGAGTGCCAGGAAAACTGGCCTTCCCTCAGAGAACTTGGGGTAGGAGTTATTAGATAAAGCTCACCAGAGAAGAAAGTTAACTTTGTGATAGATCTTTGCTGTGAGCATATCTTTTTTTTAATTAATTAATTTAACCTGCATCCCAAGAATGACGTTTTTCTCTCCCTCTTCTCCTAGTTCCCCACCCCCACACCTCTACTTCTCCTCCCTTTCTCTTCAGAAAAGGGGAGGTCCGTCATGGATATGAACCAGCCATGGTATATCAAGGCTAGACACCTGCTCTTCTATGAAGACAAGACAGGGCAGGACAGTAGGGGGAAAGGGTCTCAAAGGCAGGCAACTGAGTCAGAGACACCCCTTTCCCTGATGCTAGGAGTCATATGAAGACCAAACTGCACAACTGTTATATATATGTAGGGAGCCTAGGCCCATCCCTTGCATGCTCTGTGGTTGGTGGTTTAGTCTCTGTGAGCCCCTATGGACCCAGGTTAGTTGATTCTGTAGGTTTTCTTGTGGTGTCCTTAACCCACTGTGAGCACTTCTGAATATTTGGTTTACCTTTCTTTTAAATGCCCCAAATAATGAACATGAATTTCAGTCTCTTAATTATCAACTGTCAGAACCTTCCCAGAGTCCTCTGTAACCCAAAGTGCCCAGGAAGAACCCATCATGTCAGGCAGGGGATTGGCCAGATAGGGACATGTGTTGTTTTCTGTGTGGTCCCTGAGCCCAGTGGTGCTTCGAAGAACCTTGTTGCCATCCTGGGATTTCCAATAGGGAAGGTGACTGTACTGTTTTTGCTCCAACACCACCTTCTAAGGAACTTTGGAATCATCAATGAACCAGCCACACCCACAGTTGGGGTCTGTTCTTAGGAACTGTGGCCACTTTTAATGCCTCATGTCTGCCCAGGAACACTGTGTTTCAGACTCTTGGGCCATGTTACCCCAGGTTGATGTCAGTCTGGTCACAGAAATCTCCAGAGCTGTCATGCTTGTATGAGATGCTCTCACCTCTCTTCTGGAGGCCATCATACTGCCACCTTAGGGGACTGCACTTGAAACGTACGTGTCACCCTAATGGCACTAGGAGACACTACTTCAACTCAACAACCTCTCTGGATGACATCCCCATCTTGCAGCTGTCCTCAATCACGGGGAGGAGGGGCACCACCTCTACGCATCACACTGAGAAGAGGCGTACCCAGTAAACCTGCACACACCGTGGGACTGAGTGCAGTTAGCAGCCCGGGGTCTGTGCACGCGCTGTGTATGCAGCCCTTGCTTTACTCTCCTGTGCTGCCCACTTCTGCTGGAACACTTGGCCTCAGTGAATCCTCATCTGAGTGCCGTCATTAAGTACAGTCTTCATCTTTGTCTTGGGCAGAACGAGCAGATACTAGTAACATGAGGAGTGGATAACTTCCTGAGGATGCTAGCCCTGGGCACACCCAGCAGCACCCAGCAGATTGCTGGAGAGTTCCAGAGAGTGGCTAGGAACAGAAATTGTTCAGACTGGGACTGTGAAGAACTGAGATGACAAAGTCTGTGGCCAGAGAAGGGCAGCCGAGAGCCATGAAGACAGAGTAGTTGTAGAGAGCAATTATTAGGGCTGGCTGTGGAGGAGTGGACCACTAGCAGAGCAAGGGCCTGGTACCTAAGCTTAGAGTTGCTGATCTAAGAATCTGGCTGGTTTTAAAATCATGATTTTTTTTTTTTTAATTACTCTGAATATAGCCTCTTGGGAGCAACAGCGCCTGTGTATTTAAGGTAGTGAGATGTAAACAAAATGATGGATTTAAGGTGGGCTTGCCAGAGGGTGGGCTCTCAATAGAACCTGGAATGGCAGCAGTGAGGAAGATGTTGTCGTTGGTGAAGGGAGCCAGGAGACCTGAAATATGCCAATCATGTGACAAGATTCTGGATGGAACTGTGCTGCAGAAATGGAGAGTATTGGCAAGGTCTCAGTCCCTGAGAATGTATGGCTTGAACTTCTTGCTGACCATAGAGCGGGCAAAGCTTCTCTTGGATGAATGTGTCTCTGGAATAGTGGCAGTAGAGAAGGGGATTTTGGAAGAACTTTCTACATAACAATGCATTTTTTTTCATACTAAGTTTTAGGAGCCTGCCTCATATCCATCTGGAGTCTGTCATAGAAATGGCAGGAAAAGAATGTGGAGTTTTAGAATGGGAAGCTCATTTTTGCCTTGAAAGCTCATTTTCATAGGTGATGCTGATGTTATGTTTTGACCACGTATAAAGAGAAATGAATGCTTTGTGGAATTACAGCTTGTTGAATGTTTGGAAAAGGAAAAAAATCAAAGGGGAATTACAGACATGAGAATTAAGATACCCAAGTGGCCTTTTGCTTAATTATGATGCATGCTTGCTCCTCTGTTTTAGGAAGATAAAGTAAGGTCCCATATTTTGTTCAACTTAAAGAACTTGCTCTTTGTGGAAAGAGGCGGTGTGTAGTTTTGTGTAGAGTGTCTAACCCAGGCATTGTAAGGAGCTTCAATAAATTGAGTTATGGAGACCTATTCCCAAAAGTGATCTAGAAGGCCATTAGTCCAAGTCCATTTTACAAATGAATAAACTTACATTTGTAAGGAAAAGGTTCCTCCTGGAGGTTACTCTGGGTAAAGATCTGAGTACTGGTTACATACCTGATTTTACAAAGTCTGTGACATGCACAGATCTGCACACACATACACACACACACACACACACACACACACACACACACACACACACACCAAGGTTTCAAATACATTGCCAGAAGAGAGATTGATGGCCAGCAGCGTCCTCTGCGTGCGCTCTTATATGTCTGGTCATGAGCTTAGATTTTAATAGTTAAGCCATCTTTCCAGCCCCTCTGGTTCCTTTCTGAGGCCACTGTTTCTGACACTGCCTCAAACTGTGCCAGGTTACCTAATTTCCAATCTGACATATAAACTCCCACTTTCATATGTTGAGTCATTTTCTTGCAAGAGGATTTTCCTGCATTTGTCACGGTTTTCATTTCTATGCCAACTCATGAATGAGAAAATCAGTTATCCAAACCAAAGTACAAGGCTGGTCTCTCTTATAACACTAGCAATAATAAAAATTTGGTTTAAAAAATGTATTGGGGTTCTTTTGTGTGGTGTGTGTGTTTTTTTAATACTAGAACCAGCAGCTCATGGAAGATAAATTGATATGAAGAAAGAAAAGCCTGTCATTGCCCCAAGCTCTGCAAGAGAATCTTTCACTCTAAAAATGGACTCTTTCCGGCATATTATTCTTCCCTTGCGTGGTCACACTGCTGTGTTCTCAAGATGATTTTTAGGACTCTCAGCAGACATCCTTCTTACCATCAGGTCCATTTCCTCCCACTTGAAGACATACACTGAAATACAGTAACTCCAGAGCTCCGCCAGGATATATATCTATAACAAAAACAAATTTTGTTCCATGGTGCCACAATGAAACTTAATATTGTGTATGATAAATTGAAAAATAAATTTTTAAATATTAAAAATTAAGTAATTGAACATACTAACTCAGTCTTAAAGGCAGCCATATCAATGTACTGATTAAAATAGAATTAAAAATACAGAAACAGCTCTACATTTTCTGAACAGTTAGACTTGAACACACAGAGATCTGCCTGCATCTGCTTCATAAGTACTGGGACTGGGAGCATGTGCCACCACACCCAGTTTACAGCTTTAAACTTTTATGGCATACAATATAAAATTACTCAAATGAACAACTCTCTGCCCCTATAGAAATATAGAAATGGCTTTTCTGCTCCTTTCCCTTCAAGCAGGGGTGCCCAAAAGGGCAATCTTGTTCTTCCCTCCCTTCCGGGAATATGGGGCAATGCATGGAGATTGTGATTATTTTTCAGTAGTCATATCTGTGAGACTGTGTGACTATAAGGTTGGAATGCTACCTTATAAACATGCTTTTATTTTATTTATTTTTGGGTTTTTGGGATAGGGTTTCTTTCTAAAGCTCTGTCTGTCCTGGAAATCTCCCTGTAGGCCAGACTGGCCTGAACTCGGGAGATCCACCACCCTCTGGCTTCTGAGTGCTGGGATTAAAGATGTGCTACCATGCCTGGCTTAATATGTGTTTTTATTTTAATGGATAATTTTTTAACTCCCCCCAAAGGGCATTTTCTTTGAGAGGATAGCATGGATTTATAGGCAGTATGAGGTTGAATTTATTTCCCTCAAACACATGAACAAGGCCTTTGGTTCATGAGAAGGTTGACCCAGGTATGCAGTTCACCAAAACTATACTGAAAAACATGGAACTGAGAAGCCAGCTACTGGTGCATGCATTCCCTTTTATTGTCTTAGGATCACTGTCGTCATCAAATAGAACAGGCATTTACAGACAGTGAAAGATTGAGGTTTGAGTCACAAGCGGCTTCTCCACAGGCTGTTGGAATCTGGCCTCTTTTCTGAGTGTGTTGGCTGTATTCATCCTGCCACTCATGGGGCTCCTAGTGGTGAGAATGACATTGCCTTGAGTGTGCTGATGTGCCAGTTGGCCTTGGCTGTCCTGCCAGTGAAGGTAGGTGTTACCCAGAGCTGACCAAGGCCTTCTGTTGTTTCAGTGCATGAAGGCAGCCCTCTGGGTGAACTCCACCGCTGTATCCGTGAGGGAGTGAAGGTGAATGTTCACATCCGCACTTTCAAGGGACTTCGGGGTGTCTGCACAGGCTTCCTCGTTGCATTTGACAAGTTCTGGAATATGGTAATAACCCTTTCTTAAATCCCCTATGTGTCTAAAGGCGTGAGTAGCCTTGTTAAAGCAAAGCCCTAGGAATAATTTCTCAGAACTGAAATCTTTATACCCGGATAATCACCACTGGAAACGGCTTTTCTGCTCCTTTCCCTTAAAGCAGGGGTGCCCAAAGGGGCATTTTTGCTCTCCCTCCCTTCTGGGGACATGGGGCAATGCATGGAGATTGTCATTATTTTTTAATAGTCGTATCTGTGAGACTGTGACTATAAGGTTGGAATGCTACCTTATAAATATTCACAGTACACAAGACAGCCTCCGTCCACCAAACCAAGAACTATCTCATCCTACATGCCCTTAGTGCTAAGGTTGGGCGATCTATAACCTAAAGAATAACTATATCATCCTTCAGTAATTTTGGATAGACTGCCTACCAGCCATTCTGTTTTGTCTTTTTGAGAGAAGGTTTCTCTGTATATCCCTTGCTGTCCTGGAACTGCTCAGTAGACCAGGCTGTAGACAAAGTATCACTATGTACTCTTGGTCAAACTCACTATGTAGACCAGGCTGGCCTAGAACTCACAGAGATCCACCTGCTTCTCCCTTCTGAGTGCTGGGATTAAAAGCATGCACCACCATGTCTGTCAGAGATCCTGCTGCCCCTACTTCCTGAGTCCTGGAATTAAAAGCACAAGTCACCATGTCTGTCTTAAGACCCTTCTTGTAACTGTTATGAAATTTGAATCCTAGGGGCTTCACTGTTTGGTAATCCCTCCAAGCCTCCATTTTTTCATTTCTAAAAGCAGGCCAACATACCATGATGAGTTTATTGTTAAGAAGAGACAAGTTTCTCTATATATCTGGACAGGATCTCACTCTATAGCCTGGAACTATGTATGCTGCCTACCTAGAGTGGCCTTAAACTTCTGGCAGTTGTCCTGCCTCGTTTTCCAGCCTGGGATTAAAGGTGTGAGCCACCATACCTGGCTGTGGGGGAAAATAATTAAATAGAACATATTTATTGAGAGTAGTGGTCATAAATACTTTGTTTTGATTTTAGGGTGAGTTTGTATTTTTCAGAGTAGCTTCCGTTTCACAATCCCATTGAACCCGACAGTTGTCCTGTGAGGCTGATCTTGCTCATACTGCTCCTGTCACCCTGTGAACCCCAGGCTCACTGAAACCGAGGAGCATAAAGGAGCAGCCATGCTTCTTGGCGTATGGTTTGCGGCTGCCCGGGAGCAGAACCACCGAGGCTTTCTGTTGAACTGTACACATGGGAATCTCTAATCTCGGGGCTGATGAGATGGCTTAGGCAAGTAAAGTAACTGGTCACCAAGCCGGAAGACAAGATTGATCCCCACATCCCACTGGTAGAATGTAAGAATTGAGTCCTGTTGATTGTCATCTGACTACTGTGCCCAAGTGGTAGCACACATGTAAAAAGTCTGAGCTCTCTTCTGGGCCTTGAAACTCCACCCCGAAGAAGCCCTAAATAAGCCTGCCTAGTAAGGTAAAGGATCCTATCATACTTCCAGGTTAGAAAACCCACCAATCTCTGAGCTCAAAAACCTACCAATCCCTGAGCCCTAAACCCCACTAGTCCCTGCACTTGGTTGAAGTCTCACCGATCCCCACCCTAGAACTCTTTACCCTGGAAAACCCACCAAGAAACTCTATGAAGTCTGCCTCCTGTTCAGTCCTCTGCTGCTTCTTGCCCAAGCAGAAGCAGCCACCCTTTTGTGTGTCTTCCAAATCTCTTGTGTGAGGTTTGTTGTATGGTGTGACTCTGTGCTATTCCTTGGCGTTTAGCTGCCACGCCTTTTCCCTCAGAGCTGCAACACTTCTGTTGGGGAAGCCTTTTCCCTCAGAGCTGTAACACTTACATTGGTATTATGGCTGGGATAAGCTCTCCTGTGCCTGGGCTCCTCCTCAGGGTATGAGCTGCACTGGGATCCTCTCCCTCAATTCCACACCCACCCGCAACAGATTCGCCTTCCCATTCACTGATCGATTGACAACCCACCCACCTTCCCCTTCGGTTCGTGTAAGTGCTTCCCTGAGTCTGAGGAAGTGACTGCTGAGCATCTGACACCCTCTGATACTCTTCGAGGCGGAGGTACCCCAACCATGGTTTTTAAGGCTATGGCTGGCCCTTTTCACCTGACCCTTTGGAGCTGCAATCCTGCAGTTTCCTTAGGCCCATCTGGGCTATTGCACACCTTTCTGCCCCCTTTCCTGCCTCCCCTTGAAGCAGCCTGTATTCTCACGGTTTCTGTAGGTCCTTGTGTATTTTGTGACTCCATTCCAACGCTTTCTGTTGATGAGACCTCATTCCTGAGCTCTCGGATTTTTCTTTCTTTTCTTTTTGTTTGTTTCTTTTTGAGACAGGGTTTCTCTCTATAGCCTTGGCTGTCCTGGACTCTTATTTGTAGACCAGGTTGGCCTCAAACTCACCTCTACCTCCCTGTGTGCTGGGATTACAGGCAGGTACTACCACGCCCTGCTTCAGTTGTTTCATTGTCTATAGGCAATCCTATTAGGTGATTAGCTGCAACCCCTGTTGAGTCTATTCATGCCCCATGGAATAGCGTGGTCCTCACTGGTGCTCCCTGAGTCCTGGGGACACCCTCAACTACAGGCTGCAGCAGCCTTTTTTCTTCTTCCCCCACCCCCATCGATGGAAAGTGTCTTCCATATCCTCTTATTCACCCTTGGGATGCCTGTTAGAAAACCTCCAGTCTCTATACGCAGCACTCAACCTAAAGGGCTCCAAACATGTTCTTGGCCTCAATACTCCTTAGATAATCAATTCAAATGGCTTCCTAATGGCACCCAGATTCCAGTATTATTCTGGAACTTTAAAAATACTGAGAGGGACTGGGAATTGGGGAAATGGAGAGATTCCCCATTCCCTATATTCAAGCTTTTTCTTTCTCTGCTCCAAGCCCTGGTTGTTTTTGTCTAGTCTTCCCCAACACTGTGTAAATATCCTGTCTTAAGTTAATTTACATAAATTTGTTGCAAAGTGGAAGCCAGGACTTAGCTGGAGGGGAAGAAAGCAAGGGAGTAGTCCCGGCTCCAACATGCACCCCTACACCCTCAATCCCTCCCCCTGCCCACACTCCTCACTGGCTGGTGGGGCTCTCGGCTCCCTCCTGCTCCCTCCTGCAGTGTCCTCTGCTTAAAGCCAGGGCTCAAAATGTTCCCATCTCTAAGCCTTCTTTGTTTTCAGTTTACTGGATTCAGTTTTACAGGGATTCAGGTGTCTTTTAGGTATGACTGGCATTAGACTGTTGTTTTATGCTGTCCCACTTCAATTAAAATCTCCCCCTCCTCTTGACCCAAGCATACTTGTTTAAAGGTTTCCTCCAAAATCTCTGTCCCATATCAGGAGAGCCACCTGACTATGTGACAGAGAAAGGAGCAAAACGAAATAAAGAGACACACTATTCCCAGTACGAACTATCGTTACTCCTTTAGGTTTGGTTCAACTCTCTAAAACTTCTGCTAAGATAAATCATATCTCAAGATTTGTATATTGTGTAAACATTTTGGTTCAAGGGCTGGAGATGATTGTCAGTGGTAAAGTGTCTGCCAAGCTCTGTGAAGCCCTGGGTCAGGTCCCAGATTGGTTCCTTCTCTCTCTCTCTCTCTCTTCTCTCTCTCTCTCTCTCTGTTTTTTAAGACAGGATTTCTCTGTGTAGCCCTGGCTGGCTATACAGGACTCACCGTATAGATCAGGCTGACCTCAAACTCAGAGATCTACCTACCTGTCTCCCGAATATGGAGATTAAAGGTGTGTATCACCTGCTCCAGCTGTGTAGACTTTCTGTACCTCAAGATTTGCAACCATATTGGGTATGACTAAAACTCTGTAAAATCTGTAACAAAAGGATTAACTTAAAACTCATAACACCAGGTTGATAGTTAAAAATCTATGTGTAGGCATCTTAAAGGAAGCGTGGCTTGCCACCATCTTAGCTGCTGTGCCTCCTTAGTTTGGAGGCCACCACATGGCTGACAGTCATCTTTGCTAGGGTTAGAAAGGATGGATTTTGCTATATGACTTCACATCCATCTGGATTAAAAGTGACCACATGGCAAAAGCCCACCAAGGGGAAAAAAAACAGTTCCTAGCTATGAAGCCTAAACCAGATGGTTCCTTTACTATTTTCAGTCATGCTAACGAGCTCCCCACCCATCAGCCTCAAGCCACAGTCCCTCCTATCCCACTCCAGCCTCTTTGGTCTCCCTTTCTTCCTCCTCAGCAATAAGCCACACAAACCAGCCGTCTCAGGCACGCACTTTCAGCCCTTAGCCCTACTGCTATTTGTTCCTCCTCCGCCATGGAGCCTTTACCTCCCCCTACTCGGCCTAAACTGGCCTCTGTTCTCCCTTTGTGGGACCTTCCTTTGCATCCATTGCATACTTATCAAAAGAATTAGACCACACTACCCAGGGAAAGGCACCTTGTCTGTGCACTTGGGCCACGGATGAGCTTCTTATAAGAGATTCAAAGAAGTCAACCTTTTGGTCACTTATTACTGTCTTCTCTCCTCACCACCTGTCCCACCTTCTAACATACAAGGGTCACTAAAACATTACCCCATCCCAAGTTCCCTCCTCAAGTAGCATTGGTAGAAGTTGCCACACTTACCGTTCAGCCATGCCCACGTCTCAGCATGTGAACACTGACTCAAGTTGCTGATCTGACCCTCTTAAGGTGTGTACTGCCACCCTCTGCCACCAATCATATTTGGTTCCAAATTCTAGAGTCTGCTTCTTCAGCTGCCTCTTCCTTACTGTAGGGTCAAAAGTCTGAGCTCAGTTCCAGGGCTTGAAAACCTACCAAGCTCTGAGCTCAAAATTCCACCAATCCCTGGGCTCACCCAAACTCAGGACTTGAAATCCTACCAATCCCCACCTTGGGAATCTCCATCCTGGAAAGCTCTGGCCCCAAAAAACCATATATAAATCTGCCTGTCACTCAGTTCCTTGACCTGAGCAGAGGCAGCCATCCTCCTGTGGCTTTTTTATAAATCTCGTATGTGAGGTTTCTTCTGCTATGTGATTTTGTGGTATTCCTTGGCTCCTGACTGCCAGGTTTCTCCTCAGAGCTAATGTGCCTTTTCTCTCTACATACACACAAATGCAAAGAAAATTTAACAGTGTGCTAGTTAGGCTAGCACAGAAGAGGCAGAGGCAGGTGGGTCTCTGTGAGTTTGAGGCCAGCCTTGTTTACATAGAGAATTCCAGGCCAGCCAGGTCTATGTAATGAGAGCCTGTCTCAAAAAAAAAAAAAAAAAAAAAAGGAGGGGAGAGAATAGGAGGGGGAAAGCAAACCAAAGAAACAGAAACAAACAAAAACCTCATTCTTTTTTTTTTTTTAAGAGCAGCCTTTCATTTGTATTTTAATAAGCTTCCTGCATATTTATACACTGAAATTTCAGAACATCTACCATGGGGTTGTAAAGACCTTCAGAGAAGCTCATTTAATATGCTAGAAGAAGCTTTGAAATCCTTGGCCCCTGGGTCAGGCCCTGCTATCTTGTATCCAAGCTGAGTCACCTGTTTAGTTTTGCTATAATTAATCTTCTGCCTTTTCAAAAAAAACCTCTATAAATAATGTTCATTTTTTTCCCTTCCCATTGGGCTCCTCCTCTAGGCCCTCACAGATGTGGATGAGACCTACCGGAAGCCTGTCTTAGGCAAAGCATACGAACGGGATTCTTCGCTGACTCTCACTAAGGTAGGCAGCTCCCTTTGACCGCCTTCTAGCTTAGAAGCCATGATCACAAGCCCACTGCCTAGGAGGCAGGTACCTGCATCAGAGTCTTAGTCCCTCACGGCATGCCCCCAGCAGACCCCAAAGCACCTGTTTTTTACCTACATACATGAGCCATTAGCTGCCTCTTCAAAGACCTTAATGCCTTTCAGCTTTGTGCCACAGAGATAAGGGGGTACCTTTTCTCTTATCATCATTATCTGAGTTATGTCTAGAAATTAAAGTGACCCACTACTTTTTTTTAAATGTCAATGCAAGGAATTCAGAAGTTGTAGCTAAGGAATTTGACCTCGTTATGTGTATTGACAGAGTCAGGTTGTAGGCATTACCATGGCTAATAGTTGTCACTGCTTTCCTGATAGCTGTTTGATCGGCTGAAACTTCAGGATTCCTCCAAAAAGGAAGCAGATTCCAAGTCGGCTGTGGAAGACTCCACCCTGTCTAGATACTCCCAGACATCCACTTGGAAGGTGGCTTCGGTGTGGGGACGAGGAGACACCGATCGGGGCTCACACAAGCGCTCTCGCTCCGTCCCTTCTTCCCTGCAAGCGTCTGCAAGGGAGGAGTCCAGGTCCGAGCTGTCAGGGAGGACTACGCGGACAGAAGGGTCCAGTGTGGGGGGTACTTTCTCCAGGGCCACCACCCTTTCTCGAGGCCAGTCCCGTAAGAAAAAGCGAAAGCCCAAGGTGGATTACCAGCAGGTATTCACGAGACACATAAATCAGATTTTCATTCGAGGTGAAAACGTCCTGCTGGTGCATCTTGCACAGTGAGCATCTCAGCCCCACTTGACCCCTGGGCTCTAGAAATAAAGTGCATGAACTGTTTCCTATGCTATATCCTAGTATCCCAAACAAAGTGTGAGTCGCAGAGATTCCCACTGGTCCTGCCCGTGCAGAGGACAGAGCTGGCTCACCCTCTGGAAGCCCAGCTGAGGGAGGTACAGGTCAGCTATAGTCACCAGGCAAAAGCCATTCCCAGTATATGCGTCTGACGGGCCATGGAAACTAAGAAATGTCTGAGAAAGAATCATTCCATTTCTGACAGCTAGTGCTCCCAGAACGGTGAGTGATCTCATGACCGTGTTTGAGCAGTGTGAATTGCCTGAGAGCCCTGAACCCATATCTTGGAACTGACATTTGCTCTACATCCTTCTCTCTTGATCAAGAAGTGAAATTTCTTGTCCTTGAATATTAATAAGGTCTAGAAGAGTTACCAGCTTATTCGGGAGTAAAGCTCAGCCAGGTGGTTGCTCAAAGCAACCGTGGTGACCTCTCTGCTTTGACCCCCTCTTCCCATGGGAAGGAACAGAGGAGCTTGTCAGTCTTTCCCTCACCAGAGGTGGCCTCTGCACATGGCATACCAGATGGGCTGTACCGTGCTCGTGGTGGCTTGTTGTCCTTTCCGACTCCTGTGGCATGGTGCTAGTGCATGTGCTTTGTGGTGTCACCCCTATGTTGTGTGTGACCGTCCTGACGTGACCCTCATGTCTGGATTCAGAGAGTTCTGCATGAGCTCCGCAACATACATGTATCACATGGCTGAGCGCCCCCTTTCCAGGCGGGCTGGCCTTGTGTAGAAAGTCCCTCGGAATGGTGTTACCACGAAAGGGAGGTCATCCTTTTATTCCCTGTGTCAAGCCAGTGAGGTTCTTAGAAAGTAGAATGGGTGTGTCTAAGGACACGTGGCTCCCATTTAAGCTTGAGTGGCAGGAATACCAAAGGACCCAGGGAAGCTCCTACTTGAATTATCTCACCATATGCTTTTCATTCACAAGTACAGGATGGACCGCATCTTGACATAGACTGTTAGGCAATATTGATTTACAAACATATGTTGATACTTGCTTTATCTTAGAAAACTTATGTTCAGAGGAAGAATAAGAAATAACTAATTAGTTCAAATGTATGTATGAATAGAACGTTTCCCCTTTTGGGTTTGTGAATAGCATGGGTAAGCCTCCTGAGAAGCAGGGAAAACAAAGCTTATGGAGCTGGGATACTTGGTTCTTCTGTTAGCTGGACCACTGCCTCATCAGACAATGAAATGTGAGCAGATGTGCCTCAGTTTCCCCATCAGACACCTACCTCACCAGGGCACTTTGGCAGAATTTTAGGAAGGCATTGTACAGCCTCTAGCATTTCTAAGTGCCAGGAATAAATTTTCCTTACTCTATTGCATAGCTCTGTAAAATTCTTGTCCTTTGAGCAAGGCAGGTGCTATATGAGAAAGGTTCTCCCCAGCTGTCATCTGTGCTCTTGTAGCCATTATCAGAACTTCAGCAACTGTTTTGTATGGTCTGTTCCTTCCTGTAGAGGGAGTTGTCAGGGGAGCATCTTAATTAAGGATAGAGCAACTTTGTTTCTGCTGCTGACCCACATCCTGGCCCCAGCTTTTTTAAGGGTATCTGTTATGGTACTTCAGGGGAAATATGCATCTAAAAACAGTATTGTTTCCAAAGCCAGGTTTGTGGCCTTCCTGTCTGTCTTCAGTTTACCTGTTTTTATTTCTAATTGTGTGTAAGTCTGAAGGCAGGGCAAGCACTGGGGTCTGTGGGAGCTCTGGGTACAGACAGACTCCAGCTCCCAACTCTTTGGTCCTCTAGTCTACGTTCTCTCCTGCTCTCACGTCAGTAGTTGTTTTGTTCACTCTGCAGTCTGTATTTCCTCCGTCCCCGCCAGCATTCCCTGTGTGGCTGTCCTCTCTGTCTGCCCTGTTGCTCCTTAGCTTGAAGCTGTAATGGATGCTCTTTTCCCCCAGCTGTGTAGAAATGTGCAATCAAAAGGAATCGAAAGAGTTTCTGTTCATCCTAGTGAACCCCTGCTCTGTTCTACACAAATGCCAGTATCATGTTGCCATATAACTCTCCCATATTTCTGTAAGGATTGATTTACAATTTTCTCCTCAACATGACAACTCTAGCTGTGAAAATTATCTTGAAATTGTGTGTTCTCTATCTTTAGATTCCCTCCATTTAACTGTTTAACTTGGACAGTGATTCTGAAATGAACACTGTCTAGGAAATGTTCAGTTTTCTGCAAAGCATGATAGTTATTTTTAGAGAAGTAAATTTAATAAATTATTGCCAAAATTTTTGAAAAATAAAAATAAATCTAGTAATGTGTTACTTTTCAAAAATGATATCACATGGGTCGTACACAATGAGTCACGGTAGTGGCTTAGGGACTGGGCAGGCTCGCTTCATGGTAGGCCCTGTGCTTGGTGTTCTCGAGACCCTGACTTCAGTCCCTAGCATGAATGAATGAGTCAACAGCTGAAGTTTTTCTCATGAGAAAAGAACCTGGGGAGAGGGGTCGGTGATGTCACATACGAGAAGAAGCACCCCTTCCTTCCAAGGAGCCCCACAATTCAGGAATGGCGTAGAGCCTCCTCACTGGTGTTCTGTGGGATTAGAGTTTTCTTAAGGATACACCTTGCTTTTGAATAAATGGTTTTAATTGTTCAAACTAATTTCTAGACACTTAAATAATTCACAGAATCCAGCCGTATCCTTGGTGAATACAGCTTGGTTTTTTTCAGGAGTGTCTGGCTTTGTTAGATAGTAATGTTATAGTCCTACTATGGGCCAGCAATTGGCTTAGTGTTTTGTTTTGTTGTTTTGTTTTGATTTTTGAGACAGAATCTCACTGTATCTCCCTGACTGGTCTGAAATGCGCTATGTAGAACAGGTTGGCCTCAAACTCACAGATCTGTCTGCCTAAAGGGGTGCTCTACCACTCTTGTCTCAACTATTAGGACAGGGGCCCTGGGTGCTGTCCAAGGACTAAGGAATACAGCTTGAATAGACAAAGGGGGCTAGGTTCATGCAGGCCCTGTCAGCAATTATCCAGACATCCAGATTTCTGTCCGTGTTTCTGCAAACTGCTTTGACAGCGTGGTCTGCTTGTGTCTGTCTGTGCTGGTGGTGGTGCTCACACCACCACCTGGGATGGCCACACATTGGTCAAGTTCAGACATGATGTGCATGTAGGTTACAGGAAAGGTGGGGAAGATCATGAGTGGAAATACTGTCTTAAAAGTAGCTTGAAAGTGGCAATGTTAATGTGGAGCCAAGGTCCTCCCTGCTGTGTCACATGATTAAGAAATGGCACCCAGAGCCCTGCACATGCCATTCTGTGTCCACCAAGCTCCTCTTGTGCTCCACATCAGTACAGCTTTCACCTAGCGTCAGGGAAGCTTGAGGTTTCCCTTGTTACGACCAGCAGGCATTTTGTGAAATGCTTAGCATGGTTAGAGTCTGAGGCAGCGGGTCTGGAGGAGTCTGCACCTTGCTCTTTGCCTGGAGCATATCGAGGCAGAGGATTCTGGTGTGGATGCTTGGAAACTGGAAACCTTGCTGTGAGCTGCTGTCAGGTCAGGAGCAGCCCTGCCTGTCTTAGCACTGAAAGAATGCCCCTTCAGGTTGTCAGATCTTGAGCTCTGAGCTGCCCTCAATCCTCATCAGCCTCATAGAGATTTGTTTCAACACTTCTGCCCTTTAAGAAAAAAAGAAGTAGACCCAGCATGATGCAAAGTGGGTGTTTGTGTTTCTGTTTGCACTGTCTCCCTGACAGCCACCCAGTTGGTTCTGTAATTTGCTTCTTTAAACGTCCTGAAGGTTTTTACTGTAGGAAAAGATCAAAATTATTCAGACAGCTAGCTGTCATTGGTGCTTCCCCCAAAGCCTTTAATTCCCTTCTATACCTTTTATGAATGAAATAGTTGCTATGTGCAGGTCAGGTTAATGGAAGAAAAGAGTCTGGTGGTGTAAATTAAGTAGCTTGAGAGGTGTTTTCATTTTTCTCTTCCTGCATCATATTTGGAATGCATGGACCCTCATGTCGGCAGGTGTGTTCACCTGTGTCTTTCTTGCCCAGAAGGCTCTTTCTCTGTGGTTGAAAGCAAAGCCATCCCATCTGGCCTGTGTGGGAAAGACATTAAGTCTGCTTTTGCTTTCTGGCAAATTGGCGGGTTTAAGATAAGCCTTGGGCTCCTGTCACAGTTTTCTGAAGAAGGATTGGGCCTCCTTAACTCCCAGTGTCTTGAGTATTTTTCAAATGTTTGTCAACTCTCTTGCACTCTCCTAATAAAAGTGAAATCCCTGTGTCAAGAAATGGCACGGTGGTCTGTATCAGTGGCAAGAAAACTCAGCACACCTGGGACCTGTGGAGCCTTTTAAGCCTCAGAGTCCAGGCTCTATCAGAACACCATCTGCAAACGCAAGCATCCCCGAGGAAGGCGGGGAGTTTGCTTCCTGGCCCACTGCAATCACTTTTGATTGAGTCCGTGGGAGCAAACGTTTGATGTTGTGTTTTCGGAGCTGTGAGAAAATGTCTGGGAACTCCTGGCGGTTGTTTCAGATGATTGCCTGGCTGCAGAGCAGCTGTTTCCTTCTTTTTCTCTTTTCCCTGGCAGGAAAGCAGACAGTGAGCCATGCCCTAAAACACTCACACCTGTAATCCCAGGGCTTCGGAGACTGAGAGGCAGGAACATGCCTGTGAGTTCCAGGCCAGTCTGAGCTACAGAGGGAAAGTGTCTCAAAAACAAAAACAAACAAAACAACAACAAAATGACAGTAATAAAAAAGTGATTTGCTTATTCAGTACAGACATGTAACAACTCTGGTAGCAGTGTCCTCTCTGCACTGTGACTTGGTGGGTTTATGGACAGGGCTGAAGCTCAATGACAATGTTTATGGCTTGAGTGCTCATACAGCAACTGATAAAGCCCAACAGATCTCATCTTTACATTACCCCTTGTTAGGTTGACTGAGACCCTTCCTGTTGAGGGGGCCTGCTGCTAGTAACCTCCATTTGCAATGTTCTGCTTTTGATATGTGTCAAATGGGAGTCTGGAAACTAATAAATACGATTGTATCCACTTGCTTGCTGCTTGGTGTCTGTTAATTCCGGGGAGATGGGATCCTGGAGAAATTGTGGCTCTATTACCAAGACAGACACACAACCAGAAAGTTAAAATATTTCAAGTGGGGACTGGAGAGTCGGCTCAGCACTTAAGAGCTACACAGTCATTAGGAGTTTGGATCCTAGCAACACGAAGCAGGCCAGGCAGCCTGCAGCCCGTAACCTCAGGTGTAACTCCTAGGTGGGCAGCAGGAGGCTCCGGGCCTTCCTGCCTTCTAGCCAGGTTCTGCTTTAAATGAAAGGGGGGAGGGTGAAGGAGGACACCCAGTACCCTAAGCATGCACACAAAGCCACACAAATGCACACACACATGTATATGTACCTATATACGTACACGTATACACTCACAAAGACACACAAGTCACGGAAATAAAATTGTTCCAGCCAGTTGCAGCCCTGCTCTCATCTTGGGCCTTTTGATACCAAAGCACACCTGTAGAGTCCTGTCCTAGGGGCAGCTTTGCTCCAACCCCAAACTTGAATTCTCCCACCCCCAAGCTGCACTAATTGCCCTGTGGATTTCTTCTGCCTGCTCTTCACTGGCTTTAATCCATTCTTCTCAAGACCTGTTGAAGTCACCATGGATTCTTATCGCTCTGAATGTTTTGTCACATTGGAGTAATTGATCCACAAACACATGCAGAAACCTGTGAATGTGTCACAGATTCCCTCTTGCATGAAAGGAAACTGGGTGGCCTGAGGGCTTGCCA